TGTGTGTGTTTTTTTTAAGAGGTCACCTTCTAACGCTAAGACAGGATTATACATACAATGGTTAAGCGCTCAGCTGCTAACTGAAACGTTGACAGTTAGAACCCACCCTGAGGCACCTTGGAAGAAGGCCTGGCAATCTGCTTCTGAAAGGTCATGGCCATGAAAATCCTATGGAGCACAGCTCTACTCAGAAACACATGGGGTGGCCATGAGTCGGAATCTCAATGGCAACTAGTTTCTACATACATACAAAGATGACGCAAATGGCCTAACCAAAAGCTGCTATTTTTTAGTTGTCAGTGAAAGATGTGATGAGGATGAGCACCCCAGCAGAGAGATGAAGAAAACCAGATACAATGATAAAGCACACCAAGGAATTATGAATCATACTCTGCCTCCAGCCCCTAGTTGAGAACCACTGTTCTAGAAGATGATAATGGCTACAATAAATTACTCTAATTCTTATTCTTATTGACTTTCCTTTAAATTATTTTAATTCTTGAAGTTGAGCAGTGGGCTCGCATATATACTCAACAGTGATATAAATCATCAAATAGAGATTAGAAAGATGACCACATCCACTCTTTTTTTTTTTCCTATCAGACACTCCTCTAAGATTCCAAGGAATAGAAAATCAAAAAATAAGTTTTATTTCAGTCATGCCTTTCAGTTACAAATGGATATTTATTTAGTGATATATCATCTAACACTGTATAGTATATGCCATAAGGTGGGATAAAGTTGTTCATAACCAAAAAAGAATGACCCTTGTCCACAGGTAACTGAATTAGAGGTGGCCTCAACTAAGTGACAGCTCATCCACGGCCCATGACAACTTCAAGTTTGGCCAGGCAACTGCTATGAACTGATTCTGGAATTAGCACAAGATGGTACACTGTGGCCTTTGTTCAATATCTCTTCAGTCAGAATTAGCAAGCTCCACCTACCTGAGAGAAAGGACAGAAAACCTCCCAATTCTAAGATTTCCTATTCTGAATTTTTTAGGGTATATTTTGCCAACTCAGTTTTGTCACTACTATCTGGCTATTTCAGACATCAGACCTAGTTTGGAAAACTACAGGTCTCAGCTTCTTTTCCATCAGTCTAGACATGTACGGGAGGGGCATATTACCATAAATAATGCTCAACATTTTATTTATAGTAGTTCATATAATTTGACATGAGGAAATGAAACATGTCAGTCAATTTGCCTTCTGTGACCAACTTCCCTTTCTAGCCTAACCACCGGAAATGGCACACCTCGGTGGCACATAGTCCCTGGGTTGTGGAAACGGTAAAGTGCTCAGCTGCTAACCAAAAGAAAGACTGGTGATTTGAGTCCATCCAGAGGCACCATGGGAGAAAGCCCTGGTGATTTACTTCCAAAAAATTAGCCCCTGAAAACCCAATGAGCACAGTTCTACTCTGACAACATGGGATTGCCACGAGTTGGAATCAACTCAAGGGCAATTGGTTTGGTTTTGGTTTGGTTTTGGTTTGGTTTTAGGCAGCACATGACCCTGACTGGCCACAACTAGTTGAATTAGTGTTGGGCTCCTGATGCAAGGCTGGACTGACACAGATTTTCTCTTTCAATGATTTGAACTAGGAGACACAAAGACTGTGATTAGACAATGGTGACCATTTAAATATAAAGGTCAGGGCCAAGGGCCATAATTTTCCTCAGTGTACATAAGAAGGAATAAAAAGAGAAATCTAGCTAGCAGAAAGAAAACAAGAAATGGAAAAGTCTCACAGAGAGATGCAGAGATGAGAGATCATGAGCTTAAAGAGAAAGAGATATGAAAAAGTAATGACTTTCATGTAAGATTCTGTTGTATTTCCTGATTTTCATTTCTGTTAGGTTCCCTTATATTTTTTCAACAAATCCCCTGTCATGGATTGATTTGTGTCCCCCAAAAATGTGTGTATCAGTTTGGCTAGGCCATCAGTATTGTGTGATTGTCCACCATTTTGTCATCTGATATGATTTTCCTATGTATTGTAAAACCTATGTCTGTGATGTTAATGAGATGCGATTAGTGGCAGTTATGTTAATGAGGCAGGACTCAATCTATAAGATTAGAGTGTGTTTTAAGCCAATCTCTTTTGAGTTATAAAAGAGAGAATTTAGCAGAGAGACATGGGAACCTCATACCATCAAGAAAGCAGTACCAGGAGAAGAGTGCATCCTTTAGACCCGAGGTCTCTGCATTAAGAAGCTCCCAGTCCAAGGTAAGATTGATGTCGAGGACCTTCCTCCAGAACTGACAGAGAGAGAAAGCCTTCCCCTGGAGCTGATGCCTTGAATTTGGACTTCTAGAATACTAGACTGTGAGACAATAAACTTCTGTTTGTTTAAGCCATCCACTTGTAGTATTTCTGTTATAGCAGCACTTGATAACTAAGACATCCCCCGTTTTATTTGAGATGGTTTGGGAAAGTATAAGTTGCAGGTTTTCATGTAAACATGGTATTAATGTTATTAGAGCTGATGGAAAAAGAAGAGGCTGTGAGAGCAAAGAGACAAAGTGAAAGCTTAAATTACCCTATGCTTGGCCCATCTCTGCCGGGGGAAGGAAAGGGTAGAGCTTTGAAATGAAACTAATACTTGAGGATTTTCCTGTTTGCAAGAATCTTTGCGATGGATCTCTGAAAATGCCAGGGACCTCTTTATATCCCTGGGACTTATTACTACAATTCAGGGAGGCTGCCACCAGATAGTAATAGTGAACACCTAGAAGTATTGATCAGTAATTAAGATTCATTTTAATTTTATATTTTAATTTTATTAAATTTAAATAGCTACATGTGGCTAGTGGCTAATACACTGGACAGCACAATCTGTCAAAACAAATAAATACAACTGCATTGCTTCTTTGTATATATAAATTTCCTCTTGTTTGCTGGTATGGAAAGAATTTTGAAGCATATTAAAAAGGGAAATGTCATGGATTGAATTATGTCCCCGCAGAAATGTGTATATCAATTTGGCTGGGCCATGATTCCTGGTATTGTGTGATTTTCCTATATGTTGTAAATCCTGCCTCTATGATGTTAATGAGAGAGGATGGGTGGCAGTTGTGTTAGTAAGGCGGGACTCAATCTACAAGATTGGATTGTGTTCTGAGGCAATCTCTTGAGATATAAAAGAGAGAAGTGAGCAGAGAGACAGGGGGACCTTATACCACCAAGAAAGCAGTGCCAGGAGCAGAGCGTGTCTTTTGGACCCGGGGTCCCCTAGTGGAGAAGCTCCTAGTCTGGGGTAAGATTGATGAGAAGGCAAACAGAGAGACAAAGCCTTTCCCTGGAGCTGACGCCCTGAATTTGGACTTGTAGCCTGCTTTACTGTGAATAAATAAATTTCTCTTTGTTAAAGCCATCTACTTGTGGTATTTCTGTTGTAGCAGCACTAGATGACTAAGATAGGGAATATATGAAACTAACAATTCATATCCAAAAGTTAAATATTTACCATCAAGCAAATTATTCAGAAACAAGCAGTGAAGTTGTGGGAAAAAAAAGTACTTTGTTCAAGCTAAAACCAAACCTGTTGCCACTGAGTTGATTCTGACTCATAGCCACCCTATAGGGCAGAGTAGAGCTGTCCCTTAGGGTTTCCAAGGAGCAGCTGGTGGATTTGAACTGCCGACCTTTTGGTTAGCAGCCGAGCTCTTAACCACTTCACCACCAGGGGCCCTTTTCACGGTAGGCTATTATACATAGTTCATATGATAGTTGCTGATACAAATGAGTATCATTTGTACCACACTCTCTCACCTGGCTTCTCTCTTAACCAATAGCAAGTAAATTATAAACAGGCAGAAAATTACTCTGTAACCAGATCAGAAACCTAGATGAGAAGCATACTACTGGTCTATAGGAACCCTGGGACCCTAATGTCTTCCTAAACCCTTAGCTGACCGGCACAGACCATGAGAAATACATTACCATGTTCAACATGGAATTACATTTCCCCTAAGGCTACTTTTACATGGTAATGTTCTAATTCAAAATGCAAACATAGGAATGACATTAAAAGATATAATTTTGAATAGACAATATAAAATTAATAAGGTTTTTTGAAGAATAAAACAGTATTAAGAAAGAAGAATTACAGAGATGAAGGCTGGTCAAAATACAATTACTTTGAACATTGTCACATCCCTATAAACATAATCAAAAGGAAATGAAGAGTTGTACTAACAGTAGTTTCTTAGCTAGAAAAGGGTCATACTTTGACTAATTTAAATTTTACTAATGATAGTCTCATGAAATGTTGGATATAAAATTATAAAACCATATTAACTTTACAGAATCAACATGTATACTCTATTAGAAAAAATAAAACTATTTAAATTACCTAAGTGTTCAGCACCTAAACCACTTTAGTCAAATATGGGTTACTCTTTTCTCTTTCAAGGATGAAATACTAGAGAGTAGTCTAGGACGTTTAGCCATCTTGTCCTGACAAATAACCAATTCACCTTTATTCTCAGTATATTTTTAAGTATTGATTTTACCAAGTGAACTCAGACATGTGTCACACTTATCCAATACAGATCCTTTTCTTTGGAAATGTAGTTTGAACATCAATCAGTCACCTGGCCTTTCACCTGCAATTCCTATTGCCACTGTCTGGCAATTATTAAAGCTTGCCCATTCCTGCAAATAATTTATTTCCCAAATCTCTCAGTTTTTACTGAAATACACAATGACTCCTGTGAAAAATATCTGTTTCTTGGAAAAGTATGTAAATGATCACGTGATTAAATTCCTTCATTAAAATTATCCTTTTCTGAGTTGAAAATTACTTATATAAATCCACATTTCAAAGGCCTCTAGGCATTTTCTTTTAAGATAACAGCTCCAAACTCCAGTTTGAAAAATACAACGTAAAAAGAAATTCAAGCTGATCGGCTCTGTTATAAGGGCTTCAAATAGAGCAGAGTGTTTACATCACTTGCTGAACCCAGTGAGAGTCACTGAATGACACCCACCTTGAGCTGCAGGCCTCCTGGGAGAACAGTGTTTGCTGGAAGGCTTTTAATGTGTTGGTAGACATAAGAGGAGAATTGCTCCTGCTCAGCCTGTAATTGTGGGCCAAGTTTAGAGAGATGACCTCTGTTGCTTTTGATAGCTGTCTGCAATTCATCAATCAGCCTGCTCACCTGAAGGGGTTAAATTACAAGAGTTGTTAGCAAGAAGTAATTGTTGATGTCACACCTATTAGATTTTTGAGTACCTAGTTTGATGGGGGGAAAAATGACTTCAAGACAAGAATTTCAGTACAGCTCTATTTTCAAGTAAAGAGATTAGAAGGGATGTACATTCTTTCATCAACAAATTTATACATGGAAAGATTTCCAACCTTTTCACTTCAATAATATAGAATGTGTAGTCATTTACAATTGCTGAATAAAAAATATCTCTGAATATGAAAAGAAAAAGTATTTAAGGAAACATGTATGCCCAACATACTCCTTGTGTGGTGCAAATGGTTAATGTGCTTGGCTGCTAACCAAAAGGTTAGAGGTTTGAGTCCACCCAGAGGCACTACAGAAAAAAGGCCTGGAGATCTACTTCTGAAAAACTAGCCATTAAAAACCCTTATGGAGTACAGTTCTGCTCTTATACACACGGGCTTGCCATGAGTCAGAGTTGACTCAATGGCAACTGGTTTTTATATATCCAACAAGTTTGCAAAGGACTTTTAAAATGCTTAATAGAATAAAACCTTCCAATTTATGTACCATCCACAATATTTCTATATATACCTCTTTACAGAATATTTTTTATATATACTTCTTTTTAGCATATTTTATTTTACTATATGTATTTGGAGTCCTGATGGTGTAGTGGTTAAGAACTCAGCTGCTAACCAAAATGTCAGCAGTTGGAATCCACCAGCCACTCCTTGGAAACCCTATGGGGCAGTTCTACTCTGTCCTATAGGGTCACTATGAGTCCGAATTGACTCGACGGCAACAAGTTTATCTTAAATATTTGTAACCCTTAATAACTCATTTGGTAGGTTACTAATAGGTAGCTCTTGATTGTAAGTTGAAGTGAAAGCTTGTGGAAATTTGTATTATCCAGTCATAAGGAAGGCTTCTCATAGCCCACTAATAGAAACTGGGGTGAAACTTTGGAAATCATGGACATAGAAGGCAGAAACGGTAGAGGAAGACTGGGAGGAGACAGAAAAAGATAAAAATGATATAAAACAGAACAAGTTAATAGATGAGGAGAATAATTTAAAAAGGAAAGAAGGTAATTGGGGGAATGTGAGCAGGAAAGAAAGAGAAGGAAAGAAAATGTGAAAAGGAAGAGAATATTATTTGTAGACTGAAATCCAGTGACAGATTTCTTTCATGATCTTCCTTTTCTTACTTTCTGGAATGAACTTCTGTACTTTTATAGTACTGTTAACCCTATAAGAAAGACGTAATACTTAAAATATGGAAATGATAGCTGATCCAATATTATTCAATGTTTTCAGCCTTATCTTCATCATAAGACAATACTATCTGACAGCAATACCTTATTTTTATGAAAATAATACGCACTTTCTACGTTTGTATGTCAACCGCGCCCTCTTCCCTACGAGATATTTTCATAAGCGCAGCTACGCCAATTTTTTTACACGTTGCTGTAAAAAAAATTAGCATAGCACGCTTACAAAAATACCTCGGAGGGGGGGAGAAGGCATGGTTGGCACACAAAAGTAGAAGGAGTGCATTATTTCTGTAAAAATACAGTATTATCCTCAAAAATGGTGGATAATAGTATATATCATACCCAAACTAAAGACCAAAACAGGCCATTGACTTGCTCTTATGGTTATCTAACAAAATTAAAAGTCTAGAACCAAAGACCTTAAATAGAGGAAGGAACTCCATTTCTGGAAAGCATTGATCGTCTCTAAACCTATCCCAGTATCATGTGATTCAGAAAGATACAATTTCATGTAGTCTTTAAAGTCCACTAAGTACATGCAATGTATTTTGCTAGTCAGTAATACTGCTCTCTTTAATTGTATGTACTGCACCTTGTCCTATAGCAAGCAACAAAACAATAAAATAAAATAAACAAACATATGAAGGAGGAATTTCAGACTTTTATTTGAGAGCATTTTTATACATGACTTGTTTTACTGTCACAATCCGTAGCCTTTCACTGATAGGAGATTTCATGTGACATCAGAAATCAACCAACCATACAACTGGTGATGCTATTTGCATTCTAAACGGCTATTGGTTGAAGTTTTAAAAATTTCAATTGCGATGAATTCTTTGTTGCTTTAAAATTTTTTCTCTATAATTTTTGCTATTTTCATTGGGCCCATGATAATATGTGATGCATACTTACACCAATAGTTATCTGTTTTTTTTTTAAATAACTTAAAAACATAAAATGAGATATCCTAGCAAAGATTAACTTACATCTTAAACATGGGAGGAATATATCAAGAATTCTGCTCCTGGCATTTTTATAATGTTTCCATTCAATTTTACTTAAACTTTATGTTACTTTACATATTCATAAAGTTTTTTCCCTCAAAGTGCTGCATTTTGTTCTCAGTTATTACAATAACATGTCATCCCTAAAGATAATCCTACACATGAAATAACTCATATATACTAAAATCTGGTAGGTAATACAATACTCCTGAATTATTTTACACAATACAATTTTTTTTCAAATCACAGATGTTGCTAAAAAGAAAAAAATGTTCTTTAAAATTCATCATAAATCTTTTTTTTTTCCCTGCAAATCCTTTTTCTCCCCCTCTACAAAAGCAATGTGAATACGGGTAAAAGAAGACAAAACTTGACCTTTTGTGATCCCAGCATTAATGGGTCTGTTCATAATTCAATCTATGTGTGTGTGGAAGCATCCATGTGGAAATATAGAGGCCTGAGAGACATAAAGCCTTTCCCTTTAAACATTATCTGACCCTATCAGTCCCATTCACAAAAGCAGGCTTACGTATGCATATGTTGAAAAAATGCACCATCTCATTCTGCAGCAGAAAGCCTACACATTTTACACTTCATTCTCCGTGGAAATGCAGCACGGAAGTGACAATCGTACAGAAGTTTTGAGAAGTAACAAATGAGCAGAAGATAGCCCAAAAAATAAAAATAAAAATGGGCTATTCTGGTGAGGAAACAAACTATACTTCTGAAGGAATGCAAATGTGCGCAAGTCTATAAACATACATGTAGGTTTTTGTAACACACAGGCCAGCGTGGTCATATTTGTATGATACATGCATATAACCCTTTAATTCAATTCAATTCTCAACATAATTTGTAGCCATCACAAAATAATATTCTGTTTATAATCATTCTGAAAATTATGCACATTGAAGTTGTACAATCTGAACTGTACATTCTGAATACTGTACTTTGGCTATTATTAATGACCCTTGAGGCACTCCTGAATTTTCTAGCGATGAATTCAGCTGTTGGCCTGAATGCTGCATGACCCAGAGTCTACCCATGTTATCAAAGAGGATTCCAGAACACTTTTCACAGAACTGTCACTTGAAGTTAGCACAAAGGGCAGCAATCTCTATGTTGGGAATATCATCTTAGCATGTAACATACAGGATGGTCTCAAAGTCAGCACTTAAACTCAGGAACAAAAAACTTTGTAATTACCGATATAATCAAGGAGGAAAAAAAGAAAAGGGAAAGAGATATAAAAATAGTATTTTAAACTTCCAAAGATCTCTTCTTTGTTTCAGGTCCAAGACTACACTGTTTTTCAGACTAAGAAGAGGACATAACCCTGAAACTACTGTCCTGAGATAATCTTTAAACCTTAAACTAAAAATAACCCTTGAAGTCTTCTTAAAACCAAACAATAGCTTAACTAGTAAAAAATGTCTGCCTTGAGCATTAAGCTCTTTTAAGAACTATGTATACGGGATCAAATTGACAACAGCAACTTGAAATATTAGATAGGAACCTTAGTGGGCAGTGAATTTTTGTTAATGAGGGAGGAAGAACTCAGAAAAGGAAGGTGCACAACTCAAAGAATGTAATCAATGTCACTAAATGGTACATGAAGAACTTGCTGAATTTGATGTATGTTTTGCTGTGTATATTCTCAACAACAACACTAAAATAAATAAAATTAAAAAAAAGAAGAGACATAAACTTGATTTGATAAACAAGACTGGAAAAGATATGGGAGCCTGTGATCAAAGTTAAGTATCTCTTGACTTGGATGGATATCTGCAGTGTAATTACCAGGAAACCTGAAATGTGTGGCCCCTCTTATTCCCACCACTTTTGGTTACTCCCAACTTTTTTATAGTTTCCTAGGACCCTTCCAAGAAGGGAAACATTTTGGAAGGGGAGGGGATCTGTCCTGTTTCCAGCCAGAAGGTCCCTTATGTGCTGCCTTTAGGCTTATTCAACAGCCTAACATCCCCACCTACCCTTGGAGGAAGGAGTGATTGAAAACGGAGACATTTTAAATGTCTTCATAATTCACCAGGCAATAGGGCTATATTGATGGCAATAATGATAATATCACCTATACCTTTTGAGTTGGCTAATGAGAATGTGCCTCATAGATATCTAATTATAGAAGCATAATAGACCAAGTCTCCTAGCTACTATGCTTTCAAATCCATCTCCAGGTTGGCACCAATGGCTGAGCACAGCAGGGGCACTAAGGCAGGTCCATTCTTGGGAGTCACAGGAGTCCTCTGACAGTCTATTTTGGCTCAAGGATACCTCCAATAGTTTTGTTGAACCTTCCTTAGACTGCATGGCAATAGAGGATGCTTCCACTCAACCTTCCTTTCTTCTTTCATCTTCACTCGGGATTAGACACACATCTGTCTGACAGCTCTCCCAGCCTTCCCCACCTACCCTTCCCCATTTCCCCATTTCCCCATTTTCTCTCACAGGCATTTCTCCTAATAAAATCCTTACAAATTTAATCCCTTTTGGCATCTGCTTTTCAGGGAACCTCAAAAAACACACTTCTAAAGTGCTAATGAAGCCTGGTGGCACTGTCAAGAGCACAGGCTGTGACCCAAAAGCTTGGCAGTTTGAATCCACCAGCCATTCCTTGGAAACCCTATGGGGGGCCGTTCTACTCTGCCCTACAGGGTCACTATGAGTCAGAACCAACTGGACAGCAATGG